GCCCGTCGGCGGGAAGGAAAAGAGACAAGCCACCAATACAACAAACTGGGTGCCGTGGCCCAGACTGTAGGCCCACAGCGCGGTCGCAGGGCCGTGACCCCTCCTGCAGCCGCTGCGACGCCTGGTGGACCGGGAGGGGAGCTGCAGGCACTGCACGACAGGGACAGAGACAATAGAAGGAACTTCCTCGCTAGGAGGAGGCTCTTTCTGCAGACTTTGGGCTCACCCCCCTCCCCATCCAGATCCCAGCCTGCCCAGGCGGGTCTGGTCTCAATTCCTGCTCGGGGTTACCTCTCACCGCAGAGCTGTGCGCCTGTGCTGGCTCTCAGCACCGCCACCCCCAGGCAAACATCTGTGCTCAGTGGCGAGAGCTGTCTGAGCTGTCTGTCTGTCTGTCTGCCTTGCCTGTCTGGGAAATTCCCCCTTGTGAGTCCTTTCTGGGAATTTTTGGGGGGCAGAGTTAACCCTCTGAGCGGCCTAGGGGAGGCCCTGGCCCTGGGAGGAGGGCAGGCCACCTGCGCCGGCACTGGCCCTGCAGGCAGCACTTGCAGTCCAGAAGGCCACAGCTACTGCACTGCTGCTCCCTTCCAGGGTTCTCTGCGGTTTGGGGTGGGGAAGGCCAGAGCCACGTCCCATCTGGCTCAGCCCCAGAGGGCATCTCTGGGCAATAGGGTGAGGCAGCAGGGGGAGGAGTGGAACCTGAGCCCGCAGTGGCCTCTGCCCCACTCCTTCAAGGTCCTTTTGCAAAATAAAGTGTGTGCTTCCAACTTTATTAGTAATGTGAGCACATTTTCCAAAAGCTGGAAAAGGGAACAGGAGGATAAAGGGGAAGGGGCAACAAGCTACTGCTGACATTTGCATCCCTCCCCTGCCAGCCTTTAGCTTGTCCAGAGATTTTGTTTGCTTGCTTTTAGATACGTGATAATATGACTCACTTCCATCGTGTGCTTTTGTTCCCTTTAGCTTTACGACACAAGACGTTTTTCCACGCTGTAAACCCTTGGTAAACAGTATTTTTAACAGCAGCATAATGTTTCATTGAGCAAGTGTTTCAGCGTTTGCCATTGTACTGAAACGGCATAGACGTAAATAAACACATTCACACTCACACTCAGTCATCCTCCATTGGTGAGCTGTTGGGCTGATTGTTCCTTAGAAGTTGGAAATAACCCTGCAATTGACTTTTTAAAAACAATTGCTAGCGGGCATATGAGCTGCCAGAGAGAGGAAATGAGTCAGCACCCCCATGGGGGATGGCCACCCTGCGATCTCCCCTCCATTTTCTCCTTTAGGGATTTTGGGCACACATTCTGCAATTGATTTTCTCTCTCTCTCTCTCTTTCTCTCTTGGAGAGGTTTTTCCTCTAGGACACATGCACTCGCCAGAAAGACAGAGACAGAAAGTGAGAAATCACCCCCCAGGGGGGATGGTCACGCTGCAATCCCTTCTCCTCCATTCTCCTCTCGGGATCTTGGGCACGCACGCACACGCGCCTGGTGTGAGTTTAAGCCACCGGGTCCGGGACGCAAACTGTGGCAGACTACATGGGAGTCCAGTGACATAACCATTATGCCAACTGCTGGTCCCATGCAATTGACTTTCATTCGACAAGTATTTGTGGATCTTCTACTCCAGACAGAGCTCTGGATTGGAAATTAGGATTTAGTCGATCGACTACAACAGACCAGGACCGTTTGCATGAAGCTTATATTTGGACACATGTTTTTTGGACTTAGAAAAATTCACAGATGTATGAAAAAGTTTTTTTCTTTTTCTTTTTCTTTATTTATTTGATTCATGATAAAGTATACGAGAGAGCGTATATGAGAGAGAGGGAAGCAGTCTCACAGGGTCTAGTCACATTGGGGCCCCCTTTCCCCAGCCCTCCTGCTCTTTGGGGTCCTGGGCACACACAAGCACCATCAGGCTTTCAGGCCAACCCAGGGATCCACAGCGAGGTTGGTCCTGTGACTTCCAGCACTGTATTTTACCTTTATCTGTGTCCCCAGGCTGAGCCCCTGAGAGTTTTTGTTTTCGTTTCTTCTGTAATTTGCCAGAGGGTGCTTGTGCTCACAGAGGAGAGAGAGAGAACAAAGTGAGAAAGCAATGCTCTCCCAAGGGGAACAGTCCCACCGCAGTTCCCTCTCCTTCACTTCTCCCTCCCTTTCAGGATTTTGGGCATGTATACACACGCTTGTTTTTCAAGCTGCTGGGTCTGGGACTCAGACCATGTGGTGGGCCATGTGGGATCTAGTTGTCTTCACCACTGCATCACTGTTGGGCTCCCCAAAAGCTTTTTTTGAAAGAATTATTTTAATTTAACTTTACTTTTATTTATTTTTAATTTGACCAGAAAGGGACAGAGTGAGAGAGAGAAGGAAAGTGAAAAAGCAAGCCGCCAGGTCCAGGACTCAAACTGCGGTCGGCCATGGGGGAGTCTAGTGCCTTAACCACCTTGCCACCTGCCGGCCCCCCAAAGCTTTTAATATTGC